AAAGGTCTAGAGCTTTAGGGTTTCAGGTTCATTTGGAGCATGTAACGTTCTGGAGGATGGACTTTGGAGCTGTGGGCAAAGGATTTGTGGTGCGCTTGCAAGCAGAAGGAATCTGCTTAATCTCAGCAATATTAAGAGGGTCCATGTTCACTACCAGGGACCTAGTTCCGTAATGTTAGTCTACATTATGTATGGACCCCTCCGGCTAAGTTTACTGTGTTGTTCCTGTCAGTCTTTTCTGAAGAACATATAACGCATGTAATGTAGCCCCTAAACCCTAAACCTTAAACCCTAAACCCTAAACCGTGACTCCTAGCCCTCATTTCGGGTTTAGGGTTTAGGGTATCCCTAAACATCAAGACCCAAAGTCTCGCATCGTCGAGTTCCTCAGTCTCCGGAAGCTGAACCCCGAACTCCCTGAACCCTAAACCCCAAACCGTGAGCCTTAAACCCTGAACCCTAAACCCCAAACCGTGAGCCTTAAACCCTGAACCCTAGACCCTAAACCCCAAACCGTGAACTTTAAAAACCCTAAACCCTAAACCCTAAGCCCCTAAACCCTAAACCCTAAACCCTGAGCCCCTAAACCCTAAAACTTATACTCTAGGAGCAGCCTTGTAGCGAAGGACTGGGGCTACGCCACGCACTTGCAGAAGGAGGCGCTGCTGCTCCTTGGTGGCGATCCTACTAGGACCATGCTTGGGCTCCTTAACCCAGTAGTAGAGTAAGTATAGGGTTTAGGGTTTAGGGTTTAGGGTTTAGGGTTTAGGGTTTAGTAAGTAACTTTGAACTTTTTTGGGGTACGCATAACCCCTGTATAATCCCAGTATACTCCCAAAAGTCAACCTTTAATTCCCCAGGAGACTGGACAAGTAGGCTAAAGGGTTCTTCAAAAGGGGTCTGTAAGGGTTATTGGCATAAGGGTAGGTATAAAGCTTTAAGCATGGGGGCCTTAACGGTTTTAAAAGGTAGGGGTCTGGGGTGAGTGCGTTCTAGTGAAGCTATCTTCAGGAACTCTAGCGAAGAATATTGGCAACTATTCAGGCTTCTATACACCCTAAACCCTAAACCCTCTCAGGCTGCTATACTCCCCTCAATCGGTCATGCTAAAGCTGGATTGCACTAAACGCCAACACCTAAAGACCTACATCCGTAAACTCCAGAACAAGCGATAGCACCCCAAAGCGCAAAGTCTAAAGTCCCTTGGGTTTAGGGTTTAGGCTTGAGGGTCCTTAACCACAAAAGTCGAAAGCCCTAAACGCCCAAAGGTGCTAAACCCTCAGAGCCCTAAACTCAAAAGGCCGTAAGTCCCATACCCTAATGTCCAGGCCCCTTATCCCTTAACCGTAAACCCCTAAACACCAAAACCCCCAAACCCTAAACCCTAAACCCCCAAAACCCGAACCCCTAAACCCTAAACCCCCCAAACCCCCAGACCCTAAACCCCCAAACTCTAAACCCCCCAACCACCCAAATACCCCAAAACCCCAAACCCCCAAACCCCCGAAAAGAGCCCCCGCAGCCGACTCCAGGTTAGGATCCTGGAACCTCACCTCCTTGCCGATCTGTCCGCTCACCGCAGGCGCCAATGTAGGGGCCTTCATAATTACCTATACTATTTTGGGGGTTCCTTATTATAGTGCATAGTGTCATATGCTCCAAAACCCTATTCTATTTGTTAAGGCCCCTAAATCGGCTTGCTTCAGGGTTGTAGGGTTGAGGGTTTTAGGGTGGTTCCGGGCTGAGGGTCTAAGGGTTTAGGGTTCAGAGCTTCGGGTTTGGATTTTAGGGCTTGGGGCTTAGATTCTGGGGTTTAGGGTTCAGACTTTAGGCCTTTGGGGTTTAGACTTTAGGGTTTAGGGTTTAGAGGTTGCGGGCTTGGGGTCTAGATTTAAAGGTTTAGGGTTAGGGTTGAGGGTTGAATTTTGTGACTGAAGTGCATCGTTTAGGTTGCAGGGTTTTATTTTCATTTCTTCACGCCCCCCCCCCCCCCACCCAAAAATGCGGGGAATTGAGGGTGTAGCGGCTTAAGCGTTTGAAGGGTCGTTGTGTCTAAGGGCTTGCAAAGATCTTGAGCCCGATCTTCGGAGATGCATTGATTTAGGGTGGCTGCCCCATCTCCTTCGATCTTCAGGGAGACAAGGATTCGCGGCTGATCCTAAACCCTAAACCCTAAACCTTAAACCTTCGTTCCGGGTAATATCCGGAATCACAGAACCCCCCCGAACCCTAAACCGTAAGTCGCTGACTTGCCCTTCGGAGCTTGCCCGTCCACAGCGTAAGGGAAAGGGTCGATTCCTTGCGGCTCCCCTGAGCCTGGAAACCAGAACACGGCTTCAAATAAGGGTTTAGGGTTTAGGGTTTAGGGTTTAGGGCACGTCTTGTTTCTGGAGACTGAGGGCACACGAAGGGATAATGACAACGTGGAAGACCAAATACAAACTCAACAGCAAACAGTCCACTGATACCTCTTCTACCAGAAGGGACGTGTCAGGCCCCTCGCACATCTAGCCCGGACTCCCTCACTCTCTCTCTCTCTATCTCTCGTTGTCCTCCGTCTTGCGATGCCCAAGGGCTGCAAGGCAATTGCTGCATCCCAGTTGCACTACGATTGACAGCTGACCTTTGGTTTGCGGTTGTAGGGTTCACAGAGAGCCAAGCACGACTCAAACGGGCAATATCAATGTATATCTATATATATATATAAATGTATGTATATATATATATAATATGTATGCATATAAGCTAAACCGTGAAGAGATCGATAGTTAGTGTTGGTTGAAGCATACTTCTATGCCAGGGATATTGTGTTCTCTGGGTTGGCATTCCTGAAAAGTCTGTTTTCCCCACCCATACATGAACATGAGTTTTGAAGCGCAAGGTTCTTGGATTACGTGAGTGTGCGTTGCTTCTCCCAACCCGTGGTAGCGTCTAACTGGCCGAAGCAGGAAGCACTGTCCATCACATTTGCCTCCATCCCTTGGCATCGCACTGCATCAGTCCACTTTCAAGATGTTCTTGAAACATCGTGTGCCCTCGACGCCCCATTACCAACATGGGCTCCCGTCCCTAAAGAACCGTAGTCAAAAACTCATCGGACAGGTAATTGGGCTTCCAGGCAAAGGTTAAAAGTCGCCTTGGCCTTATCGCTCCAGGTGCTGCTTCCACAAGCCTCCTGCCTGCGGTGCCTGCAAAAACTGAGACGTCCGGCCAGGCTGAATTAGAGTAGAAGCCAGAGAACCGAATCATGGGCATTTCGCTAGGAAGTAAGCTTTGGATGGGTGTACTCCAACTTCTCGGGCCACTACTGTGCGGAGCCTAGAGCTCATCCGTCATACTCTCCCTCCTCCTCGTCGAACTCCCCTTCTTCCTCCGCAGTCGCATCCTGATACTGCTGATACTCGGAGACGAGGTCATTCATGTTAGACTCGGCCTCCGTGAACTCCATCTCATCCATACCCTCACCTGTGTACCAATGCAAGAAGGCCTTGCGCCGGAACATCGCGGTGAAGTACTCTGCAACCCTCTTGAACATCTCTTGGATGGCCGTGGAGTTGCCCGCAAAGGCCACAGCCATCTTCAGCCCTTTCGGCGGAATGTCCTTGGCTTGCTGCATTCTTTGCTAGAAGCTTATAAGGTTTGCGATCTACTGCTGATAATGTAGAAAGAACTTATATTGCATAGATGTAACTGCTATATACTGCATGAAAAAAGTATGTATTTTGAAAGATCGTAGAGTACAGTGTGCGAACAACATCTCTGGCTTGTCTGACTGAAAGTTCTGGACTGGAGCCCCCCCTCACTTCCAAGCGTCACAGACGGATGCCTTGATGTTGTTCGGGATCCACTCGACGAAGTACGATGAGTTCTTGTTCCTGGGTTGGTTCCAGATTTCATGGGCCCTTCTTTCAAAAGGGAATCGACGGCTGCCCTTACTGCCCAGCATGGGACCTATTAATTACCTAAAGCAAGGTGAGTGAGAGTGTAAGTATATATATGCACATACAGTTCGAAAGTTGACTACGTTACGAGATCTTCTCCCTAAAGAACCACATCCGAGCTGCCTAAGATTTGGTTGTGAGATTTAGGGCTTCACCTAGAAAGCCAAAGTCTGCAAGCTCAACTGCCACGTTGCTGGACGTTAAGCATTTGCTCATCCACCTCTTTCGTGGACATTCGGCCACGGAAAAGTGCTGCCGCCGTCAAGTAGCGCCCATGACGTGGATCGGCCGCACACATCATGTTTTTCGCATCAAACATCTGCCTAAGTAGCGCTCAAAAATAACTTGGGATTGAAGGTAGCAGAAGTGAACCATCACTGAGGATAGACTTATCTTTCGGAATGTGCCAAGACCGAAGATCAGGCTGTGTTCTGGGACACTTAGGAGCAAGTCTGAAACCTCGCCACCTCTCCTTCAGTTCAGCAGCTGTGTCAGCTCCGGAACTGTGAGAGCCCGGTACTGCTGCGAGCCGCGGGAGGTCAAAGGGGCGAAGCCCGTCATGAAGAAGTGCAGCCGCGGGAAGGGCACCAAGTTCACGGCGATCTTGCGCAGGTCGCAGTTCAGCTGCCCCGGGAAGCGCAAACAGCATGTGACGCCACTCATGGCCGCAGACACCAGGTGGTTCAAGTCACCGTACGTCGGTGTCGTGAGCTTGAGGGTTCTGAAGCAGATGTCATAAAGTGCCTGACAAACAAGAGTCGCCAAGCACAAAGCCCTACTGCATACTGACGGAGAAATCGAGCGTGCTTCAAGCGTTGAGAGCAATTTTAAACGTGACGTAATGCCCCGTATTGCACAGATTCTCTCTTTGTCCGTTTTTGTTCGCGCTTAAGGCTTCTTCTTCTTCTTTAGCTTGAGGCTGTAGGGCTTGCCGTCCAGAACTTCACCTTTTGCCTCGACCTGGCTATCTGGAACGCATGCTTTTGTTCAGCAATAAACCCTAAACCCTAAAACCCTAAACCCCTAAACCCCTAAACCCTAAACCCTAAACCAGCAATCCTCGTTATCCAAGAGGAAGGACTCATCGGAGTTCTCCACGAGCTGGTGGAAGCTCAGAACTGCCTCGGGAAGCCTACAGCCTAAAACTGAACCTTAGCTAGCCCCAACAACATCCCAACTGCCCTCACGTGTAGCCAAAAAAAAAACCCTAAACCCTAAACCTCTACGAAGGGCTTGGTTAGAGGGCATGTTTTTTTTTGAGGGGGGGGGGGGGGTGGCGTCCGGGTACGGCCCAAGCCCTGCAGGCTTTGGCCGGAAGTCGGATTGAAGTTGCTGCTGTAAGGCTTCTATTGGGTTTAATGGGGTTCAGGGTTTAGGGTATAGGGTTTTGGGTTTAGGGTTTAGGGGTTTAGGGGTTTAGGGGCTTTGGATCACGCTGCTGTGGCCTAGCTTCTGAAAAGTCCTGCGATAGGTTTGTGGCTGTCGGCTTCGGGAGAAGCGTCAAGGAAATAACGTGTCCAAAGCATGTGTCTAGGTATACTTTATACCCTCATCAGGGTCCAAGTATCTATCCAGTATATACATTGACCCGAGATTACATGTACTAAAGGAACCCCTTTGAGTGGGTGGGCATGTCGAACCTCAGAACTTAACCTCACAAGAAGAAAGTGCCCAGTGTTCCCAAAGAAAGCTACACAGCAAACTTTGCAATCAAGCCCAAGTGACATTGTATGGCTCCACGACCGTATCGGAAACCTTTGGTGACGGAATCACAGAGAACGTCTCCATGATGCGGTCCGGGTATTCCTGGCTGTGCTGAAGAAAATTCTGTCATACACCAAGCGAAGAAGAATCACGACCAGTACGGAGGAAGCAGAGCAGCTGTTACGGTTTAGGGTTTACTTGACAATCCAGATGGCTGTATAAAATTCAAAACCGATGCGAGGCACATTCATCAAGGAGAACAGAAGCGACTTCACAGACAAGGCCTAGCAAGCCGAACCACGGCGTCGGTATTTACAACACCTGCAGCCACAAAAATTGCCACTGACGTGACACGAAAAAACAACAACAAACACACCCTCGTAACCACACAAACGTGAACGAAAACGTCTGACGAACCTATACCTGGCGATTGGAACACTGATTCATGCGCGGCTGTACTTCTCAAGGGTCAGTATTTGGGTAGTTTTCTTGGGTGCCGTACCATATTGGGGACACAAAAAGGGACCCTAATTCAGAGAACTACCCATGTGCAAACTCGCATCATCAACATCATGGCCTCCATGACGCTCCTAACCAGTTTTCCGCAGTCGACAAAATTAAAAAATGGATGCCGCGGTAACACCAACAACATCCTGAACATAATCGACCCCTGTGCGCAGTTGGAACACTACGTCCTAAAAACACAAAGCATTACATTCAGACTCGCACAGGTTCGCTCGCCTCGCGCACCTTGGACACCAGGAGGGTGCCCATGCCGGCTCCAGTGCCTGACGGCAGGATTCATGGACGAAGCTTTGAGCGATCGGGCCTTACCCCATAGAGGGCTAGGTTCACCAGCAACTTCAGTTGAGTGTTCATAACTACCCTAAACCTTAAAGGTCAAACCACTACCTTAAAGCATGTTCCTGCTAGAGGACCAAATCGAGGCTTGGGCTTGGATCCAGCAAGCTAGCACCGTGGCTGACCACAACCAAGGAAGGCAAAGCTACACGCTTGCTTAGGACAGCTGTACCTTTCAACCCAGGCCGTCTGCTACCAAATTGGGGCTGAGGGCTCGAGGTTCTAAACCCTAAACCTCTAAACCCT